GAGCCTGGTGTGAGAATGTAAGAGTGTGAGGCTGGTGTGGAGAGGTGAGAGTGTGAAGCTGGTGGAGAATGTGAGGCTGGCGTGAGAGTGTGGGAGGCTTGCGTGAGGGTGTGAGGCTTGTGTGGAGGGGTGTGGGGAGGCTAGTGTGAGAGGTGAAGCTGCTGTGGAGAATGTAAGGGAGGCTGGTGTGGAGAGAGTGTGAGGCTGGTGGGAGAGTGTGGAGGCTGGTGAGAATGAGACAGGAGGCTAGTGGGAGAGTGTGTGAGAATGTGGGGCTGGTGTGAGAATGTGAGGCTACAGAGAGTGTGAGGCTTGCGTGAGGGTGTGAGGCTTGTGTGAGGGGTGTGAGGCTAGTGTGAGAGTGTGAGGCTGGTGTGAGAATGTGAGAGTGTGAGTCTGCTGTGAGATTGTGAGGCTGGTGTGAGAATGTGAGAGTGTGAGGCTGGTGTGAGAGTGTGAGAGTGTGAAGCTGGTGTGAGAATGTGAGGCTGCTGAGAGAGTGTGAGGCTTGCGTGAGGGTGTGAGGCTTGTGTGAGGGTGTGAGGCTAGTGTGGGAGTGTGAGGCTGGTGTGAGTGTGTGAGGGTGTGAGGCAGGTGTGAGAGTGTGAGGGTGTGAGGCTTTGTTTGGAGAGTGTGGGAGGCTGTTGTGAGAGGGAGGGTGTGGGAGGCTGTGAGGTGGAGGGGTGGAGGCTTGGTTTGAGAGTGAGGCTGTTGTGAGAGTGTGAGGGTGTGGAGGCAGGTGTGAGAGTGGAAAGGGGAAGGTGAGGGCTGGTGAGGTTTGAGAGTGTGAGGCTTAGGAGTGAGTGTGAGGTGTGGAGGCTGAGGAGAGTGTGAGGCTGGTGTGGAGGGTGTGGAGGCTGGTGAGAGAGTGTGAAGCTGGTGTGAGAGTGTGAGGCTGGAGTGAGAGTGGGTGTGGGGCTGGTTGAGGGAGAGAGAGTGTGAGGCTGGTATGAGAGGGTGAGGGTGTGAGGCTGGTGTGAGAGTGTGAGGGTGTGGGGTTCGTTGAGGGTGAGAGAGTGTGAGGCTTGTGTGAGAATGTGAGGCTGTTGTGAGATGTGAGGCTGTTGTGAGAGTGTGAAGCTGGTGTGAGGGTGCGAGGCTGGTGTGAGACTGTGAGTCTGGTGTGAGGGTGTGAGGGTGGTTTGAGGGTGTGAGGCCGCTGTGAGGGTGCTAGGCTAGTGTGAATGTGTGAGGCTGTTGTGAGGGTATCAGGCTGGTGTGAGTGTGTGAGGCTGTGGTGATAATGTGAGGATGGTGTGAGAGTGTGAAGCTTGGGTGATAGTGTGAGGCTGGTGTGAGAGTGTGAGGTTATTGTGATAGTGTGAGACTGGTGAGAGAGTGTGAGGCTATTGTGATAGTGTCAGGCTAGTGTGAGAGTGTGAAGCTGTTGTGTTAGGTGAAGCTGGTGTGAGAGTGTGTGGCTGTTGAGAGAGTGTGAGGCTGTTGCTGCGTGCGTGAGGCTGGTGTGAGAGTGTGAGTCTGTTGTGAGGGTGTGAGGCTGGTGTGAGTTTGAGACCGGCATGAGCGTGTGAGGCTGGTGTGAGAGTGTGAGGCTGTTGCTGCGTGTGTGAGGCTGGGTGAGTGAGAGTCTGTTGTGAGGGTGGGAGGCTGGTGAGAGAGTGTGAGGCTGATGTGTGAGAGTGAGAGGTTGGTGTGAGAGTGTGAGTCTGGTGTGGGGGGTGAGGCTGGTGAGAGAGTGTGAAGCTGGTGTGAGAGTGCGAGGCTGTTGGAGAGTGTGGGGCTGTGAGGTGTGAAGCTGGTGAGAGTGTGAGGCTGGTGTGTGAGGCTGGTGTGGGGGTGTGAGGCTGGTGAGAGAGTGTGAAGCTGGTGTGACAGTGTGAGGCTGTTGTGAGAGTGTGGGGCTGGTGTGAGGGTGTGAAGTTGGTGTGAGAGTGTGAGGCTGGTGTGAGAGTGTGAGGGTGTGAGGTTCGTGTGAGAGTTTGAGGCTGGTGTGGGGGTGTGAGGCTGGTGTGAGATTGTGAGGCTGGTTTAAGAATGCGAGGCTGGTGTGAGAGTGTTAGGATGGTGTGAGATTGTGAAGGTGTGAGTCTGGTGTGAAAATGATGTGAGAGTGTGTGGCTGGTGTGAGGGTGGTGAGGCTGGTATGAGGGTGTGAGGCTGCTGTGACCTGTATGCCTGTGTGAGGGTATGTGAAAAATAAAAAAAAGTATTTTATCAATATAATTCCTTCATGAGATACTTTAATCAACTTCGACAACCTGTGCTCCGGGGGTAGCACTCATGGTGAGACCTGCCCGAAAATATTCTTTGTCCCTGGACATGTCACGGCATAATCCAGCAATGAGAGAATAGACTTGTAATCTGAAAAGGTTGACACATCCAGCGTATCAGTACAGGAGTGAGGGTGAAGGATGTATGAGTACATGACGTGTGTGTGTGTGTGTGTGTGTGTGTGTGTGTGTGTAAAAGCCTGTTCTGTAGGATATAAATCCCTTGCCAGCCTAATCAGGATCTTATAAAGCGGAAAGTCAAGAACCATGGGTTTCCAAGGGGTAATAAACAACCGTTAGAGATTGACATCTCTTTACTAAGAAAATAATCACAAAAACTTAACTCTGACACTACTCATACAAAAAATAAAAAAACAAAACAATCAGTAAAACAAAGAACAGGTATTTCCTACGGCTGCAAATGAATCTTCCTTCTAACCAGCCCTGTAGAATGTTCTGTTAAAGCTGTGATCCGCTCTCAGGGGGAAAGTCCAGGGCAGCTTCCTCACTTGGCGCCGAAAGAAAATCCAATGAGTACACAACCATAGTTAGAATAGAACAGCTCGGTGAAGTATCGGCTGTGGTGAAGGCTGGATCATGTCTGACGATCTTCTCACCTCCGCCTCCCCCCCCCCCCTTTTAGTGGGGCCGCGAACAAGCAAACGAGCGGGAGACAATCATCTCGCTGGTTACAGTGTGTGTGTTTGTTTGTGATCTGTCAGACAGTGGCAACTACCCGGAGATCTCGCTGCTGTCCGTAGCTAGCAAGATTATTGCCCAACTCCTCCGAAACAGACTTCTTCCTGAGGCGGAAAACTTCTTTCCATAGTCTCAATGTGGCTTTAGACCATTACGTGGCACATCTGACAATATCTGTGCTGCCGGCAAGATACAGAAAAAGTGCAGGAAACAACGTCGTGACCTGTACATTGCCATCATCGATATAACCAAGGCCTTCGACTCAGTCAACAGGGAAGCCCTCTGGCGCACCCTCAGCCATTTGGGATGCCTACTGAAATTCATCGCCACCGTGAGGTAACTCCACGATAACCTGAACGGCAGTGCCATGCACAATGGCACCCACTCTGTGTTCTTCCCCATACAAACAGGGGTAAACCAAGGATGTGTACTGGAACCAACTCTCTTTTCCATTTTCTTGGGTGCCTTCCTCACTCGTTTCAGCAACAATTTTGTCGGCGGGTGGACATGGAGTATGGGAAGAAGGATCTTTTCAGCATAAAACGACTCCAAGCAAGCACGAAGGTGTCGGCTGCTTCCATTATTGAACTTCAGTATGCAGACGACCTCACCCTTGTCGCTCACACTCAGTAAGACCTACAGGAGATCCTGAACACCTATGCAGATGCGTATGCACACTTCAGCCTTGAGGCGAATGTACATAAGAATGAGGTACTCTTTCAACCAGCCCCTGGCTCAGCCACACCTCCACCATCCATCCAGCTCAGAGGTATTAACCTCTCTAATGTTACCCACTTTCAGTATCTCGTCTCCCACGTGTCCACCACCGCGTACATCGATGAAGAGATTCAACATCGAATTAGATGTGCGTCACAAGCCTTTGGCAAACTCCGTACCCGCTTCTTAAGCTGTAGGGAGCTCACATTATCTACAAAGTTGCACGTATATCGAACAGTGTTCCTCCTCACCCTGCTATACGGCAGCGAGACATGGATCACATACAGGAGGCACCTCAGGGCACTTGAAAACTTTCAGCAACGTAGTCTACGCTCCATCCTCCGAGTTCGCCGGGAAGACAAGAGAACAAATGCTAGTATTCTTACTGACACCAACTGTAGGACCATCGAGGCTACCATTATCCATGAAGAACTACGTTGGACAGGCTACATTGTTCGCATGGGCGAAAGTAGACTGCCAAAGTAGCTACTTTACAGTCACCTAACGAATAGTAAATGTAACACTGGAGGGCAACTGAAAAGGTATAAGGATAGTCTTAAGACATCCTGAAAAGTTCCAAATCGACCCCCTCACCTGGTAGACGATTACTCCACATCGTAACGCTTGGAGGAGCAAAACACAAGAAGGTGCCAATACTTTCGAATTACCCCGACTGCAAACTGAGGCAGACAAGCGCCAACTCCGGTAAGACGCTGCCGCCGCTCCTCCCGCACTACCTGTGCAGGTGTGCCATGAAGGTGTACTGTGTAGGTATTCCATGTAGGTGTAAGGGAGAACCTGGTCAATTTACAGTATTACATTTGCCTGTTTAAACTAACTTAAAAGTTACTAAGTATTTTTGTATAAATATTTAGTTCATTTCAGAAATCTCTACACTAGACAAATATACAAACCAAGACAAACAAAAGCTACAGAAACTCAATGTAAATTAACGGTATTAAAGTGACCATTTTGGAGTTTGACGGCCATATTGGATTTGAAGGAAAATTATAGGAAATTCTAAAGTGATAAACTGAGGTGTTTCCGAGGCTGAGACGTGGCTGTGAGGGGTCAACATGCTGCACTTGTCTCGGTGTGTGGTAAGGGTGGCCGCTGCCTCCGTCCGGCTCAATATAAAACACAAGTCACACACTCATACATTATCTCTCGTGTCATAATTCACTGATGATGTCTGAGTCACTCTTGTTGTTATTGAAGAACAATTTAATCTACATTCAGCAACTATATAAGTACAAGTGAGGCCCAGGTGAACGAACACTGGAAGAGGAAAAGTTGGTGTATATATTGAAGGTGTGAAGAGAAGGTTCGTGTTCACCTCACTGTGTGTCGCTGTTAACCCTTTGAGTGGCAGTGGTTACTCTCAGCTGAATAAAATCTTCTGGCGTCAACCAGAATATAATACCTAAGTGGGACACTGCCCTTTAAACGGTTAACCCCTGCTCGAGGAAGATGGTCTTTGTGCTACGATCAAATCTTATACAAAAGTGTTGTAATAAAAAAAGTGTTACAGCGTCAGTAATAATTTTCGTTTTGTTGGTGAGCGTTTACCAAGAGGATAATGTTAAGGAGAGTGACAAGGATGATGACATATATAGTGATGAGGCTGGTGAGCAGAGGAGAGGACCACTTGTTTACCGTGGAGAAACAGGCCAGACAGGTGTGTCAGTTAACAGGTGTCGCTCCCTCTTCACCATCACTGGGGTGCCAGATGAAAAAACACTTTTCGCTGCTGACCTGCTACAATATCCTGCAGACAACAGCAACTTGACGAGCGACAGATGGATGCCGCTACACCCTCGGGTGGACCAACACCTGTCAGCGGCTGTCAAAGGGGTGAGACACCTGCTGCAGAAGAGGTCGTCGTCGTCTGGAGCTTCCACCGAGGATTACCGCAGTCTGGCGGAGCTGCTTCCTACACTCTTAACCTTTCAACACCACACTAACAAGAGTCAAGAGGATGACCACGGGAAGGAAGGTCAAACACCCATCCTCCGCCTCAACAGTAGGATTGATGCCAACGGCGGAGTGTTGCCCTACGTGCCCTGTGCCATAGTGCCCTTTGATCACCCGCACTCCGTCACCGCCTGCTTCGCCCATAGACTCAAGAACAAGAATTCCCTCTGGATCGCATTCCTGGGCGACTCAAAAATCAGGGCATTGTTTTATGAGTTTCTTCAGAGAACCGACAGTGAATATCGGTACCTCATCCACCTTCTGGTGAGTCACTGATACTTCTGAATATTCTCACTGACTGTTTACATACAACTCTCTCTCTCTCTCTGACATGTTAATATATATATATATATATATATATATATATATATATATATATATATATATATATATATATATATATATATATTAATAAAGACAAAGACTTATAGTTGTTATCTCTGGTGGCCGCAGAACACAACCATGAGCTACGAGGAGATGAGGAGGACCACCTTTAAGCTACTCACCGACATGGAGGCCACCACACCTGTACACCCGCGCCTCCGTGTCTCCTTCAAGTATGGCGGGAGTGTTTACTGATGTTGGGATGGTGCCTCTTGGTTACTGAGTGATGTTAAAATTATGCTGGGAATGTTTTATTGGTTAATTTTACAATATGTGTGATATATGTGATGTTACATTTCCATTTGAGATGTTCTAATGGTTACTGAGAAATGTTTATGAAATATGATGTTTACGCTGTTTATAATCATTATTTACATAAATATTCTTATGTTTTGGGTTTGTCCGACTTAACATCTTTTGTGATGTTAAATTATGTATAAATTGTGTCACTATTATGTTTTTTACTCCCTGTTTTTTACTGCATGACCTCCACGAGTCACAGCTGTACTGTTAGTACTGCTTCTGCTGCTGTTCTCTACTGTCTACTGTTAGCTACTTCCTGCAGCTGGTCTAAGAATAAGTCATTGCTGATACTCTCAGCTGAACTAGTGGTAGCTGTTACTGTCAGCTGCTGTCACTCTATTCCCTGCCTGACTCTAGCTGACTTATTGAGATTATTTTACTGTTATTTCTTAAGTTGTTGCTGTTGTTACCTCTGCTGTAGTAAGCGCTGTTGTTGTTATCATTGTATTGGTGTTGGTGTCAAAGCCACAGCCGTCAGTAAATGGGTCACAGTTTCAGGACATTCATGGAGGTAACGCCGTCCAAGGTTCAGGAGACCAAGGAACTGAGACAACTAAGTCGGTGGGCCAAGGGGGAGGACCCGCTCCCTCACATCCTTATAATAGGTAACACAACAACCGCCACAACACCTCCACTGCAAGCAGTTAGTGAGCGAAGCTTCGTCTGGCGTAGACTTTAAAACCATGATATTATAAGGTAGACTCTTTGTAAGACCTGCAGGTAGGAGGCGGGCGAGCGCCCGTCTGGCGTAGCTTCAGCTACTGTCTGAATAAGCAGGTGTGATAATAGAATCATGATAGATATTTATTGTCTTATGTACTGTACAATAATGTACTGTACATATTTTGTGTGAGAACAAAACTGAGTTCACACACGTTTATTTATGTTAAACCAAACCTAATATAATCTAACGTAATTCACCGATCGGGTCCAAGCTTATCGAAAATATAGTATCTGAAAATCGACTTAATGCTCTTAATTGTTTCTGTATATAGTATGTATACAATGAAATGAGACTTTTCTGTCATATGTGTACAATTGTATAGCAACATGGTTAGTTTATCATTATACTTATCTCAGTGACGGCAGATTGTCTCACACCCACCATAAGGTACATCTGTCCTCAGGGAACACCAGGTAGAACACAGATTGATGGATATTTAGAGAGAGTAAGACAGATGAGAGACAGGGTGCATTTCCTCGTCCACTTCCTCAGGCTACACGTCGTTGATGATACTACATATGATGATGATGAATTACACCGCTGACGTGCTGGAGGTCATGAGAGAGATGCATCAACAGGTCGTCCCTCTCCTACACCAGGTCAGTAAGTCCTTTTGGTCGCTCCCTCACCTCCTCATCCTCACCATTATCTTTAAATGTCTTTTCCTTCAATACACTTTTACTCGAACTTGAATTAACCAATTCACTATGTCACCTTTTCACCCATTCCTTTTTTATCAATCTTTTATTTTTATCTTTTGTATGCCTCTCGTTTAGACATGAAATTATAACAGGTTGAAACACAACTGGCACTGTACTATACATCTCTCCCTTCATTCTGGTAATTATCAGTTAACCAGTAAGGTATTTATGAATTTCATCTTAATAACTATAAACGTGTTTGTGTTTTACGGCAAATCATTCAGGATAGGGTGGTACAACTACAACTGTGTCACACTGGATTAGTCACACACTGTCTTCTTGGGAGTTCGATTCAGGAATTGCTGGAAGGCCAACTCAGTGTATTGGTATCGCGCCACGGTAACCACAGACACAAAGTTCCGTGAAAATTATTTTGATTTCAGATCGCTCAGAGGACGCGGGTGTTGGTGGTGTCTCAGGGTCGCTACAGGGAGCACAGTTTTTCTGGAGCAATCTACAACAAGGCGTCAATCTTAGGGGATGCCACCTTCGACTGGAGCGAGATGCTGTTCCAGTATTATCTCCGTCAGTATAAAGACCACCACCTTTCTCCTGCCACGCCCCACGTCTCCTACACCTTTCCAACACCAATCACTGGGTCTCTAAAACAACACTCCCCCAACCCCCAGGGTCCCATACCCAACACTGTAAGACCACAAACTACCAGGACCAGCAAAGACTATTTGGACGCTAGAGTGACTGGTGGTGGAGTGTGGTGGTGGGACACTGGTGTGCCGCTTAACCTGGCGGGGATCAGCGAGTGTGAAGAACTGTACCGTCGAGGGCTGGTGGACAGCTCCGTGTACACCAGTGAACACCTCAGGTGTACAGACGACCATCACGTAGGAGAGGACGTGCTGTCTGACCAAATCACCATGCTATTTAACCTTATGTGTAACTCTATCATGCAGCCACATACGAATGTTTGTTGTCACTGAAGAGGTATTCCATCTTGGTCATAGCCTCACGCTGCACTGCCTGCCTCCGTTACTGACTCAAATTGACGCAGATAATGATTAACAAATGTTATCACTGTTCCAAAGAAAATTATTTACTTTTATACAAGTAAAAAAATGTATTGTAAAAACTTAGGATGAAGCTAATAAACTTTGGAAGAAACGACCTTTCATCTGATCACCTGAAGAATCGTCACCCCAGAATGTCCACCTGAAGAATCGTCACCCCAGGATATCCCACCTGAAGAATTGTCACCCCAGTCTGCTCCACCTGAAAAATCGTCACCCCAGCCCACAGTGAATATAATTTGTATAATTAGGATAACATAAATATATTCCTTTGTGTTATGCATCTTTATGGTGAAAAGTTTAAAAAAAAAAGAGAGAAAATATACACCGTGTTCCAAAATACAATAATTCCCCCCCGCCCCCAAAAAAAAAATCTAAGATGAAAAAAAATTCATTTAAAAAAAATCAGTAAGGGAAGGGTTCCATCCGTTACCTAAGAAAGTCACACAACCTTAAAACAACCTGACCTAACTTAACAAATCAGAAATCTGACCCCACCTGAAGAATTGTCACCACAGGTGTTGCCACCTGAAGAATCGTCACCCCAGGATATCCCACCTGAAGAATTGTCACCCTGCCAAACTCTGGGGTGACAATTCTTCAGGTGATCCCTTTTATCATTACAATCATCATCATCATTATAATTATTCAGTGGTGTCAGGTACCCTCTACTCACCTTTAAGCAACACTCGTCATAAAAATAATTGATTCAATTAAAATTATGACGCTTATGTACAATAATAATTAAGTGTGTTAACATTAGGATATTGGAACGCTTTTTGTTAACATTACGATATGAGAAAGTGATAGCCTGTCAGAAGTTAACATCAGATTTTTGGAACACTATTTACTGCCGAATGAAGTAGTCAACATTACCATAAATCCGGAGACTTACAAACAGATTTTTGCTTGAAGAATAACAAAGAAGCGTCCTTAATCGTGTGTGTGTGTGGGTGTAATAATAATAATAATAATAAAAATAATAATAAAAATAATAATTTACGGATTATTGAAAAAATTCTGCAGCCGGAAGGCTTAAAATATACATTGGACATAAATGTCTTATTACATACATTGGTGGTTTAACAAAGGCCTTCATTAGAGAAAGGTAAAGTAACATACAGATAACATACAGATTAATGTAGGTGCTGAACAGCAAACACGTAGTGTAGTAACTCCATCCCAGGTGATGTTAGGAGGGGCATCACGTGGTGTATTACTTCTCTCATTAGATGGTGTTATGAGAGGCATCACGTTGTGTAGTAATTCCCTCACAGATGGTGTTATTAAGGACCTGACGAGGTGTAGTAATTCCTCATAGATGGTGTTATTAGGGGCATCACGTGGTGTAGTAACTCATTCACAGATGGTGTTATGAGGGGCATCACGTGGTGTAGCAATTCCCTCACAGATGGTGTTATGAAGGACCTGACGTGGTGTAGTAATTCTCTCACAGATGGTGTTATATGAGTGAGGTGTGGTCCCAGGCCTTCCCATCGTGGAAGGATTAACACAGCGCTGGTTGTTGTTGGATCTCACTGGCAATTATCACTGGGTACCTGGGACCTCACTGTGTGAAAGTTAACTTAGGTATGACTCGACAGTTACTGTTGAGTTGTTCGCCACTGTTCACCTCTCTTCAACACTGGTTACTTAATGCACAAAGGCAGAACATACCATACAAAAAACTCAGATCAGACAACAATGACCCTAAATGGATAAATAATTATTTAAAGAACATCATTGGCCAAAGGAAGGCTATAGGTAGAAGGATAAATCGTGGCGAAATTTACCTAGGGGATTATTATAGGGTATTGGCGAGTAGGGTCAAAACCGATACAAGGAAAGCCAAGAGGAATAATGAGGTAAGGATAGCAAGGGAGGCGAAGACAAACCCCAAAGGATTCTACTAAATGTATCAAACTAAAACACGAGAAAAGATTGGACCAATAAGGTCAGATACCGGCGAGCTCACTGATAACGACAGAGAAATGAGCAATTATTTGAATAAAATATTTTTCAACAGTTTTCACCACCGAAAATTTAAACATGATACCCGGAGCACCGACTCTATTCAGAGATAGTGAAGAAAACAAATTAAGCGAGATAGTAGTGACTAGTAACGATGTTAGTAAGCAAATAGACAAACTAAAGCCTAATAAGTCACCTGGTCCCGATGAGATATTTGCCAGAGTATTAAAGGAATGTAAGGAAGAGCTTAGTATGCCCTTAGCAAAGTTGTTTAACATGTCCTTAAAAACAGGTGTAGTACCAGAATCCTGGAGGATAGCGAATGTAATACCGATTTTCAAGAAGGGGGATAGATCACTATCCTCTAACTACCGCCCAATCAGTCTAACATCAATAGTAGGCAAATTACTGGAAGCAATCACTTCAAACTCTATTCGAAATCACCTGGAGAAGCACAGATTGATCAATGATTCCCAGCATGGCTTCACAAGAGGACGTTCATGTCTAACTAATCTATTAACATTCTTTTCATCAGATTTCGAATCAGTGGACGAGGGGCACAATTATGATGTGGTATATCTCGACTTTAGCAGAGCCTTCGACAGAGTCCCCCACGAAAGAATAATTAGAAAGGTAGAAGCACATGGCATCAAAGGTAATATTCTTAAATGGATTAGGGCGTGGTTACAAGACAGGAAACAGGGAGTGAGCATTAATGGCACTCTGTCCCATTGGAGCAACGTCACAAGTGGAGTTCCCCAAGGCTCAGTACTTGGACCATTATTATTTATTATATACATAAACGACATAGATATCGGCATAGACAGCAACATAAGCAAATTTGCAGATGACACTAAAATAGGACGTGTTATTAAATCTGATGAGGACTCCGCAAAACTACAGGAAGATTTAAACAAATTTTTCGAATGGTCTGAAAAATGGCAGATGAAATTCAACGTGGAGAAATGTAAAGTACTCAGTATAGGAGATGTAAACAGGGAAACCAGATACCAGATGAACAACGATGCCATAGAGAAATCCGACTGCGAGAGAGATTTAGGAGTAATGATAAGTAGGAACCTTAAGCCAAGTAAACGATGTGTTTTTGCTCGTAACAAGGCTAATAAAGTACTTGGGTCCATACAAAGGAGTGTTAGTTACAAGACTAGCGAGGTCATCCTAAAACTGTATCTTGCTCTTGTGAGACCACACCTGGATTACTCAGTTCAGTTCTGGTCACCGTATTACAGAATGGATATAGAATCCTTGGAAAGAATTCAGAGGAGAATGACAAGACTAATCCCGGGCATTAGGAACCTTGAGTATAGAGACAGGTTAAAGCATCATAATTTGCACTCCCTCGAGAGACGTATAGCGAGGGGCGACCTGATAGAGGTGTATAAGTGGAAGGCAGGGCTAAACAAAGGGGACATTACAAAGGTACTCAAACTATCCAACCAGGAGTGAACTCGTAACAATGGTTATAAATTAGACAAATTTAGATTTATGGGTGAAATAAGTAAACACTGGTTTGGAAACAGAGTAGTAGATGAATGGAACAAGTTACTAAATTTCATCATTAACTCGAATACGCTGAATAGCTTTAAACATAGGTTGGATGCTGATACGAGCAACAGGGGCTGGGTGTAAACGGGACTGCCCAGTATGGGCCAATAGGCCCACTGCAGTTTCCTCCATTCTTATGTTCTTATGTTCTTATGTACACCTACGCGGCACACCTGCATGCAACACCTACACGGTACATCTACACGGTACACCTACAGTACACGGTACACCTACACGGTACATTGCACTATAAACTAGAAATAACTCTATGAGGTGGAAGTTTCCTTAACACACAACATCACTTGTACAGACCGGTAGTGACCCTTGTTGCCAGCCCACCACACACAGACACACACACACACACACTTCATCCTTGACCACTCGAGGGTCGAAACGTACCTGGCGCTCCTCTGGGAGCAGCCAGGTCAACTGTTAAGTTGACCCATATCAACTCCATCCCCTGAACCCCTTCTCCCCACCGGAATATCAACAATTTTTCACCAAAAGTTACAATGTCATTTAGGAAAGGCATGGAACCAGTGTTGAACAGAGGTGAACAGTGGTGAACAACTCAACAGTAACTGTCGAGTCATACCTAAGTTAACCTTCACACAGTGAGGTCCCAGGTACCCAGTGATAACTGCCAGTGAGATCCAACAACAACCAGCGCTGTGTTAATCCTTCCACGATGGGAAGGCCTGGGACCACACCTCACTCATATAACACCATTTGTGAGAGAATTACTACACCACGTCAGGTCCTTCATAACACCATCTGTGAGGGAATTGCTACACCACGTGATGCCCCTCATAACACCATCTGTGAAGGAGTTACTACACCACGTGATGCCCCTAATAACACCATCTATGAGGAATTACTACACCTCGTCAGGTCCTTCATAACACCATCTGTGAGGAAATTACTACACAACGTGATGCCTCTCATAAAACCATCTAATGAGAGAAGTACTACACCACGTGATGCCCCTCCTAACACCACCTGGGATGGAGTTACTACACTACGTGTTTGCTGTTCAGCACCTACATTAATCTGTATGTTATCTGTATGTTACTTTACCTTTCTCTAATGAAGGCCTTTGTTAAACCACCAATGTATGTAATAAGACATTTATGTCCAATGTATATTTTAAGCCTTCGGGCTGCAGAATTTTTTCAATAATGCGTAAATTATTATTTTTATTATTATTTTTATTATTATTATTATTATTACACCCACACACACACACACACGATTATGGACGCTTCTTTGTTATTCCTCAAGCCAAACTCTGTTTGTAAGTCTCCGGATTCATGGTAATGTTGACTACTTCATTCGGCAGTAAATAGTGTTCCAAAAATCTGATGTTAACCTCTGACAGGCTATCACTTTCTCATATCGTAATGTTAACAAAAAGCGTTCCAATATCCTAATGTTAACACACTTAATTATTATTGTACATAAGCGTCATAATTTTAATTGAATCAATTATTTTTATGACGAGTGTTGCTTAAAGGTGAGTAGAGGGTACCTGACACCACTGAATAA